GGCTTGACTGAGGAGAATGAAATCCTCTTCCTGGATGGATGCTTCCCTCTAAGAGAGAATCCACTGCATTCGAAGTGGGTGTCTAAAGCTCTAACTACACCAAAGCCTTGGCACGCATGTGACTGTGTGCCCTTGTGTACTTCTGGGCCTGGAGGGCTCAGGACTCCTGCATAACTCTTCCTACTTCCCAACTCTGCCCTGTTGTTCCCATTGACACAAGTTAATGATAATGGCGATGCCAAGAATCTTTCCTTTGGCTTTTGAGGTTTTTTTTTTTTCCCCCTGATTACTCAAATAACACCTTATTATAAAAAACTCTAATGTTATATAGAATATTAAATAAAAAGTGTACATTTCCTGCAATTTTGCAAATCCCCTCTTCCGCTACAATCCCAAGATTGTTACCGTCAACAATTTTCTCCTCATTTTTAATGATGTGCAGGACTGAAGGCTCTACACTCTGCTAGGAATTCTTCATTGTGCCCCTTTAGAAAAGAAAGCTTCAATATTGCCTTTGTGAAGATGCCCCGATCCAGCCACACCGTCCTCGTCCATCCCTTCACTAGGTGTCCGAAAGTCACTTGTACATACTTCAATTAAAGAATTTAAAACAGTTTCATGGCAATTTTTGAATTCAATGTCTCCCCTACTTCAAGGATTTTGGGGACCATGTCACATTCCTCTTTGGTACAAGGCACCAGTGCACAGTAAGAATTTGCTGAGTGGATGAGTGAAAGGATATATAAATAAACTATTTTTCTAACACACAGACTTTTGCGCCCTATAATAATCACAATCAGGACACTCACATTTAAATTTCTCAAACAAGATGTTTCACATATATTCCACATTTCAACAACTAAGTGGTGCTATTAATTCTGATCTTCTTCCTTTGTTTAGGTCTGAAAACTCAAAATTCTAACTTCACAGAAAATGGTAAAGTTGGAAGAATTTTGGGATGGATGGTGGTTTATTTTTCAAGTGCCAAATGAACATTTTGAGGCATAGCATCTTTGACCATAGGCTTTGTTCACTGACACGAGAACATTCTAGGAAATAACATTTCAAATAAACAATTTCGAGTCCAGTAAACCACAAACACAAAGAAGTATTCAATAGCATTTCACAGCAAATAGCCTTCTGTTGACAGTTACTCAGGAATGACTGATTATATTTGGAAAGCATAGATCTCTCTTCTGTTAGATTAATTGAATATAGTTTTAGCTGATGGCCTGGGCAAAAGGGTGAATCCATTAGAATAGTAAAAGAAAAGAACAAAGGAAAAGAGATAAGAAGGATGAATCTTAGAACTATATTCCCAAATATCAGAAATCCTCTCTGGACCAACCCTTCAAATTCATGAGCCCCACTGAGAGACTTTGACATGCATGCTGCATGACATATTGTTCAAGGAACATCAGCCAAAAAGAGTTACTTTTCTTGGAAAAAAGATTACCACAGAGCATTTGTATTTCACCACTTAAACAGTTTGGGCTTAATATAATTAAGTAATATAATTATGAACCCATTTCCCAAAGTCCTATTTCTTGTTCAAGCATACCAGTAATTTTCAAGCAGAACTTATATGTCACATGTTGGACCCATTTCTTTGCATTAAAAAACATAGACAATCTACAAATAGAAATTACAATCTAATTTTAACTTTTGAATTAAAGAGTTAAGACTCAATGGGTACAATCACAGGAAGTGAAGTACAGAGTGGAGATTGGGCATTTAACGTAAGCCGGAAGCAGAGGCAGGAAGTGAGAAGGAGAAATTCAGATTCCTCAAAATTTATTATGAAAGTAGAAAAAAGTGAAGGGGTCACTGGATTTCCATCACACAAGAGACAGCAGCTTAAATAGTAAAGAGAAAGCATTTACCATAGCAGCTGAACATAGAGTTACATCAGTATAACTAACAGATTAAGTGAGGAAGCAATATAAGTACTAACGGAGGTGGGGGTTAAAAAATTACCATTCTCCCTTACATAAAAAATATGGTACTATCAGAATCAGGCTTACTATATAATAAAAGTTAACATTTATTGAGTACTTGGGTTGGGTCAGGTACTATTCTAAGTATATTATATGAACAGACTATTTAATTTTCAAAGCAATTCTATGAGATAGGGACTACTATTATCCCAATTTCACAGATGAGAAAACTGAGGCACAGAAAGGCAAAGGCCACATGCTTAGTAAGAGGCAGGGCCAGGATATGAACTCAGGCAGTCTGGCTCCAGAGTCTTATGCTTTTTTTTTTTTTTTAAAGATTTTATTTATTTATTTGAGAGAGAGAATGAGATAGAGAGCATGAGAGGGGGGAGGGTCAGAGAGAGAGGCAGACTCCCTGCTGAGCAGGGAGCCCGACGTGGGACTCGATCCTGGGACTCCAGAATCATGACCTGAACCGAAGGCAGTCGCTTAACCAACTGAGCCACCCAGGTGCCCGAGTCTTATGCTTTTTTAACAGTATGCCATGCTGCCTCTTAACACCTACTCAAAAGAAATATTACTTTTGGGGGCACCTGGGTGGCTCAGTCAGTTAAGCATCTGACTCTTGGTTTCAGCTCAGCTCCATGGTCTCAGGGTCGTGAGATGGAGTCCCACATTGAGCTCCGCACTCAACAGGGAGTCTGCTTGAGATTGTCTCCTTCTCCTCCTTCCTCTCTCTCTGTCCCTCCCCCCAGTTGCTCTCTCTCTCTCTCACTCTCTCAAGTAAATAAACCTTTAAAATAAAAGAAATATTACTCTTTATTTCAGAGTTTTATTCATATGTTTATATAGGTTTTCAGAAATCTATAGGAAAGTTAAGTCCTGAATTGAAGGAGACTGGTTACTAGCTATCAAAAGCAACAGAAGTCAGTGTTAGAAAAAGATACTCAATTCACCTTTGCATGGTGTTACATTTATCTATGCAATTGAATCCAACTCAATTAACAATGATTTAGGGTCCCATGCTGAGTACTAAAAAAGTAAGATTCAAAGCCTAGAGAAGATACCACTTTTATTCCCATCTAGAGCAGATAAAATACTCCGGACGCTTACAGTTAGAAGAGATGAAGAAAATGAAGACCAGAGAGTTCAAATGACCTCCTGAGGCCAAAAAAGGAATTTGAGGCACAGAGGGACGTAAACTCCATTTCAGATGGGTCCAGTTCTCTTTTCGCTCTACCACTGTTTCTAATCAAGCTGGCTGAACACATCAAAATAAAATTAACCTTCTAAATGTATATCTGGGCCCTATAAGGAAGAAAATGCTTGATATCTCTGCTTGTCTCATGTCTGGAACCCACTTCATTCTGGAATGAACAGATCACCAAGGGAATATTTTTAAGGGAAGGAGGAGAAGACTCACATGTAAAGTCTCCCAGATCTTCTCTGAAGAATGTATGTTTTGGGGTTTTATTTGCTGGACAATTCATCTCTCTCAAACCTTACCCAATTCTAAAAGCAGACCTTGAAATTAGATGCATATGGCCACCCACATGAACAGGTGCATGCGTATGCTCCAACTCTATTCTAAGGGTCTTAAGAAGAGAAGACATGCTTTAAACCTTTCTGTATGCCCAGCTTTTACAAACTGCCTTCACACAGTGGGTGTTCAGTATGGAAGTGATGTCAAAAGTTTAAGTACCTTCAATGTAAGGTTTCCAATGTAAGGTTTTCTTCCCCCCGCAAAAATGGCCCTGTATCAGGTCTTTTAGTGATTTTTTTATTAGATCATCTCAGTGGACCAATTTTATACATTCCTCCACCACCAGCCCTGACCTGCCAAGGGACATTTGGCAATGTCTGGAGACATTTTTGGTTGTTACAACTTGAGGGGGATGGTGCTTATTGGCATCCAGTAGATAGAGGCCATGGATGCTGCTAAACATCCTATATGAGACAGACCCCACAACGCAGAATTATGTCACCCCAAATGTCAGTAGTCCCAAGGTTAAGAGACACTGGCCTATTTAAAAGTAAAAAAATGTACAACCACCTTTCCATCTTGCCACTTTTAAAACACAACTAAAACATAAATCAAAATGGTACATCAAAGATTTGCCCCAAGCAAGATCATTTCAGCAATCTATTGTTAATAAGACCAATCATTTAAAGGGCTTATTTACAGGATTGGAAGCGTTCATTAAACACTAGAAGAAATGCATGAATTTAAACACATATGTATGTATGTAAGCAATGGAAAGCCTTCACCAAAGAGGATGTTCTCATCTTTACTATATCTGAAGCGGAGGCATTCCATAATTACGACATAAAACCTTCTGCTGATGAGGCATTTTACGGCCACCACTGCTCTGACTCAGATGTGGAACTCGGACTTCAAATTGTTTAATTATCTCTAACCTCACTCAAAACCTGCCTTTTGGACCAGCACACAAAGAGGAAATGTATGTTTTTTGTTTACAAAGAGGGTCATCAAAACCTGCTTTCACTATTAGCTTTTCCTTTTTACGCCTGCCCATCTTCCTCATGCCTAGGTTCACCTGGAAGTTCCAATTCTTCAGCCTGGATTCCTTATTGTGGGTAAAGGGATCATTCCTTCAGTCCGGTGTTGCTCTCTTTAACTTCCGCCATGGAAAGATGGCTGCGGTAAAGCTATCTTAACAGCCTAATAATGTCTTTAAGATGAACAAGGAAAAGGAGGCAGGGGGAGCTGCTGACTTTTCTTTGCACTTGGTCATGGGTTTCCTTACATAGTCTCTAGCTGATGTGGTTACATTTGCTACAGTTTTATTTGCTTGTTCATTTTCCCTAGTGGCTGATCATATTTGATACTTTGGATGTTTGGTGTATACTTGAATAAAAATTTCTCTTTTTAAGGGGAAAAATTAATTCTTTCCTGAGAATCAACTGACAAAAAACATACAGACCTCAGGAGGATCTTTGAACATATCACAGTAACTTATCTGTTCAGTATTTTGTGTGTTGAGTTAAATATGTCACTACTGAGATCCTCACACATTGGTTAACGACTTTCTAAATATTTACCAAGATCTTTAATAAGTGAGAGGGCTTCCCATGATATAAAGGCTCCGCCACCATCATCCATGGCACCCTGCCCAACGTCCCAACTGTCCAGATGTCCACTGACCAGTACAACCTAGAACAAATAATAACAAGAGAAAAAAAATAAAACTAAGCAGAAATGACATCAAAGAGGAAGCATTCACAGTCATTCCAAATACAGATATGAAACTTTTATATGTTCTTTTCTATTTTTACATCTTAAAATACCTGTGTCATTACCAGTGGAAAACCTGATAGAAGGCATTACAGAAGGGGTGGAAGGTCATCCTAATAGTAATAAAAATTCTCACCTTGTATTTCTCTTTATTAATATAACTTTGAATACTAAAGTAAAATGGTTTATTACTGACCAATGTTTGACAATTTTATTACATGGCTTAAAACATAAATGACATAAAATGGAGCTCAAAACTTCAACCATATTCTCAGCTGTCCCAAATTCTAGCAGACATATAATAGACATGTGTTGGATTGAATTCAAATGAAAAAGTGAGAACAATATTAATTTTTTAAAAAATGATTATGCTTTGTGTATTATAAATCACTCTGGTGTTGAATAAATACACTGGAGCTACAAACTAGAGTCTCAACAAAGAACTTTTTAAAAAAATCCAATTTACATTTAGTGTTAAGTAAGTCTACAGATTATATTATAAATTTTAAATCACCATAGGTTTAAATTTTTTTCAAGAATCATTAGTAATTCTCTCCAGGAAAATATAAAACATATTTCAATGAAACTAAACTTTATGAAAACATTTTAAATGAAGCAAGTAAAATGATGCTCAGTTAATGGGATATCCATATGCAAAAATTGTATCTTGACCTCTATTTCATACAATATATAATATCAAATCAGATGAATTATAAATCTAAATAAAGATGTTAGAGGAAAGCATAGAACAGTTCTGTCAACTTGGAGTAGGCGAAGATTTCTTAAACTGAACCCCAAAAGCACAACACATAAAAGAAAAAAATAATAAATCAAACTTTTAGAAAAATGAGGAATGTCTGTTCATCAAAAGACTCCAATACATGAGTGAAAAGGCAACCAAGATATTTACAGTACATATACACAACAAAGGAACTATACCCAGATTATATAAAGAAGTCCTATCAAACAGTAATAAAGAGAGAGCCAATGGATAAAAACATGGGCAAAAGACTTGAACAGACAGACAACTCACAAAAACAGATATACAAATACTAATAAACATATGAAAAGGTACTCAGGTTCACTATCATCAAGGAAATATAAATTAAACCACATTCAATACATATCCACCAAAATGACTAAAATAAAAAATGCAGAAAATGTCAAATATTGGTGAAGAGATGGAGCAACTGGAACTCTCACACATTGCTGGTGTGAGTGTAAATGCTTATAACCACTCCAGAACACTGGCTTATCTATTAAATCTGAACATATACACACCCTATGCCCCACTCCTATATATTTCCAACAGGAATGTATGTGTATATATACTTTCACCAAAAGAGATGTACTAGAATGTTCAGAGTATTCATAATGCCCCCCATCCCCCTCCCCCAAAAGAAACTATTTAAATGCCTGTTAACAGCCCAATGAATAAATTGTATTGTATTGAATAATAGAACACTACAGAGCAGTAAGAATGAACAAACACAATACATGATCAATGGAAATGAATCTCATAAACATAATGAAAAATGAAAGAAACCCGACACAAAATAATATATCATGTATAATTCCATGTATATAAAATATAAAAACAATCAAAACAGGAGAATGGTTATCCAAGGTGAGAAGGGTTAGTGACATGAAGGGGGTACAAGGAGAGCTTCCGGGGTGCTGGTCACATTCTGTTTTGTGATCTGGGTACCCAGTTACACAGGTGTGCTCAGTTTGTAAAACAGCTTATCTTGTTACACACTTAGGATCAGTGTATTTTTTCTGAGAATATTATATATCAATAAAAAGCTTTCAAAAGTCAAGCAGATTGATGTCTATGTACAGCATGTAGTAAGCAAACCAAAGTTGAACCAATCTTCCTGATGAATGAAATAAAAATGCCCCATGACTTTGGGAAAGCAGGATTTGGGTTCTGAAATATCAGAGTGACCCCTTGGCGCTGCCTGCTTCCCCAGGCAGCTGCAGGATCTCCCATTGAGTCTGTACACACACACACACACACACACACAGACACACACCCACACACACCCACACACCCCGCCTACATGACTTCACTGTAGTCAGAAACAAGTACAACGCCTTGTAACTAACAAGGCTAACAAATGGCCATGTAATGAACCCAAATGGATTGTTTCTAAGGAAAGAAAAAAAAAAAAAAGAAGACGAACGAAGAAACCATGTTGCAATAGCAGGAAATTCTGATTCAGAAACTGGTGTAATCCCATGTGGGATGAACAAGCCAATTAGCAATGTTCTCACCATCCTCAGAGCCATTTTCCCAATGAAGTTAGAGTTTCAGTGGATTAAAAGTGTCAAAATGCATTTTAATGAACTTTTTCCCAATTAACACGTAAGAGTAACTAAATCGAGACAGCTATTATTTTACCCTTTAGAATAACTGAGGTTACTTTATAATCACACATCTTTATGTTTTCTAAAATGCCTACATTATCCAACCCAGAATTATTACTTAAATAATTAAAAGATGGAGAAAATGGTTTTGAATGATAGGAAACCAAATGATATCCCATAAGATAAGGTCTTTGGCACAGTGCTAGAGAAGAATGGTTACAAACCATTTAGATTATGAGAGCTTGTTTTAATATTTTTTAATCAGAAAATGTATCAGGGGCCACCATGGAATAGCAGTTATAATTTTGATACAAAAACTACTAGGTAATGACAGTTTGGGAGCACTTTTAATGAACTTGAGTTTTCCTAACCGTAAGAGCTCTACTACCCTTAGAAAATAATAGTGTCCAAGGTCTTCTTCCCTACTGCAGCCTCACAAAGGATAAATCAGTAAATCCTACAAACTCTCCATGCCTTATGTCAGCGTCAGGCAGAAATGAACACTGCCTATAATACATTTGGATCTGATTTAGGAAAACGAAATAAAAACAGACTACCCAGAAACACAGAAAACTCCGGTTTCATGAAGAAGAATCACCTGATAAAAGAGGAAAATACACAGTCCCTTCCCTGTTTCTGTTGCCTGACGTGGGGCCCTTAGCGCAGTAACAGGGCCTAGAACCTACAGAGGAGTGGGGCACCCGCTCATTCACCCGAGGCAGGCAGAGCATCAACCAATTCCCCAGCCCCCACCTTCCTTTTCACCACCATGTCTTCCAAACACAGTCAAGAGCAAAAAGTGTTAAAACCATAGCAGCAACAATAGGAGCCACACCAAAACAATTAGGAAGGCAAAAGCGGAACTGCCGTGGTCTGAAATGCAGTTTGTTATTTGTGAGGCACGCATTAGCCCTGACTACCAGAGACTCGGGCCTTGGGGTGGGGGTGGGAGAACCTAGTACAGGAGGGCAGAAATGCACTGGCTGGAAACCTGCTATGATGAACAATTTGACTGGCATTGGCTCACAACCCCCTTCGGGCCAGCTGTGGGTCTGAGAGCAGAGATAAACCAAATCAAGGGTCGACAGAGAGCAGCCTCAAGGACAAGCCTCTTACTTCTTTGTTATTGGTGCAGATGGAGACACTGAGTGCAAACAGATTTGCCTGATTCAAAGATGAGTAAGGACATAATCAAAATGGGACATATGAAAAATACAGCAGAACAAGGAGAGAAAACAGCCTCAGAGCAAGCACATTCTTATGAAAACAAGCTAATACAAGATATCAGAGAAAATGTCACATCTTTGGCATTCACTGCAAGCATTCATTCAACAATCTGTATTGAGTATTATAGGTCAGAGATACAGAAATGAAAAAATAACTAAATAGTCTATCTTAATAGCATTATCATTCTGGTAAGGGAGGTGGACAATAAATAAATACAATATAATGGTAGTTTTAAGTGCTATAAAAAAAAAAAAAAGGACAAAGGAAGAAAACAGAGTGGTGGTGGCAGGGAGAGGGACCATCAGTCTGCTTCCTCTTAAACTGGACGGCCGCAGGAGAATTCTGTGCCCGCCCTAACAGTGAGAGAAATCTGGATAATCTACAAAATCGTCACTTTTTAAGGCCCATCAGAGATCTCAGATTGTGATTCAGCCAGAGGAGCTGAATTCCAGAGGATAACAAGCTCATCCAAGGAGAGATGGGACACATGAATTGCTTGGCCTTTTGCAGTGACAGGAGGAAGAGCGACAGTGACAACAGATGGAGGTGACAGACCCAAGCAAAGGGCATTGGCTAAGGGGAAGGGGTAGAAAATTGCACTCCCACCCTATAGGAAAAACACATATGTCTCTGGGGGGTAGGTCAGGAAACCTGCTCACGCCCACAATCCTGCACTGATGTAAAGCAGGGGGTTGGGGGTGGGCTACTTATTCCCAAGACATATGGCAGAGTCTGGCTTCCACAGGGGCTGGGGGAAAGCAGAAATGTTGAGAAAGCTCCACTCTTGACCTCTGGCACACAGAGGGGCAGGAGAACCAAGAAACTACCCTGTCCCCACCAGGGGCCTGCAGTGAGTAACAAGCACTGCAGTAACAACTTAGAGCTCAGGGAAGGGCAAGAGCCCAGAGAGAAACGCCTGCTGTGGTGCAGACAGACAGAGTCTGCTGAAAGTGGAGGATGAAGCAAGACACCGGGAAACCTCCTCCAGCAACCCAACCCCTAGAGAGACTAAAAACAGAGTAACAGCAACCCATGCCAGACCAATGTGAAGCAGGTGAGCACCAAAGGTAGGAATAGAAACAATAAAATCTAAACCTAGCTCAACTATGAAAGATGGACTTAACCACCCTCATACCAATGGCTTGACAGAAGAAGAGGCATAATCACTTTTGGACTCACATATTATTCACCTCAGCCTCTACTGTTCTCTTACATATGCTATCTGGCATCCAACCAAAATTATGACGTATAAAATAAGCAAGAAATAAAATGATCCATTGTCAGGAAATAGAGTATTCAATACAATACCATAGACCCAAATA